TTTGTTTAGGAATGCATTTAATGAGTCCCTACCATAAAGTCCGCTGTCGAGCTTATTTAAATCTCCAATAAGCTGTCCAACGCTTTCAGTTCTTTACTATCTTTGAAAATGGTAAACGGATAGTTAGATCGATCAGGGTCAACTAGCTCCCTGCAACTCAACCTTTTTCACTAGCTCGCTATAGCTACTTCAACATGGGACTGATTATTTGGCGATCGATGTGTGGTCTCCGAGTATTACCATTCTTAGAGGTAGGAATAAAAAATAGAAAAAAAATAAAAATAGATAGAAATAATTTCTACTGACAATTAAATACCACTGAGAGGCACTGTAGAACTCCTTTCCCACTTTTGTTATATAGTTATTAATCAGGGTTTCCACTGAAGAGATCTTTCTAGGTAGGCTGGTCCAGCTGGACCGAATCCTCAGAAAAAGAAATTTATTACCCTCTTTGAGGCTACCAACGTTTGGCACGTTTAAAATGTAGTATAAAATGCATCTTCATTTCAATCCCCTCCATTTTTAAGAAATTCAATTTTCTCTTCGCTGTAGTCCTTTCTTCGCCGAGCTGCCATGAAAGAGACGTCGACAAGTGATTTCACCAGGGGTATCGATAGGTTACTTCAAGACAGACCATCCTATTTGACAAAGAGGTATCGCTGAGTGTTTGGGCAATCCTAAAGACCGTGTCAGGACCTGGCCTGTTCTCGACCTTCATTCGATGTCGCAGAGGCTAAGACAGTGATAGGCTAGTAAGGCTAAATCACTGAATAGGCAGGAAGTGCTCCTCCGTGTCGAGCAGTACTCGATACTAGGGTGGTGTAGTTCACTGCCATCCCCGGTCCATTAGTTCTACGGTATCACACTCTTCCAATGCCTTTCCATGGACGGCGATGTATTGAAACGTTGGTACAAACCTTATCCAAACAGGCACTAGAAAGGTTTTTTACCCAGGGGGCTATCGAAATAGGTCCGCCCTTCATTACTCCAAGAGCCGGAGACGTAGTTGACAGAGAATGCCGAAAGTGATACCATCTCAACAAGTACAGCCCTTAGCGGGGAATCGGGAGATGGGATCGGGCCTATTTGTGGGATGTGATGATCCCGGCTAGCAATCCTGGTCATTGCAAAACGTGCAGAGAGTCGTCAGTGCTAGATAATTAGTCATTTATTGATCCAATGCCGCCCTATTATGTTCACAAAGCCTTTTCTCCATGCTGCTCCTCAGACTCAGCATAATCCCGAACAAATAATTACTTTTAAAGCCGAGAAACTTCAAATCTACGCTATTCATTTCCGTCTTCTCCGGTACCTTCATTCATATCAGACGATCGTTCGCATTTTCTTTCCTTTGGGATTAATTTCCCTTTCCGTTGTAATTTTCACCATTGCAAAGTGATGAATACTTGGAAAAGTTGGATTTTTTCTCCAGCTTTTCTTGCTTTACTTCTAATAAGCCAGCTCCAACTCTAAGAGCCCTTCAGATATCCGCTATGAGCAGCATCCGAAGATAATTTTCTGAAAATTTTCTCTGAAACCATGTGCTCGCTCAACAATTCGTTTCTTCGAATCTATATCGAAAATGAGAGCCACGAATCAAATTGGATCATTTTGCTGCTTGATAGGATGAGCATTTCCAGATGCCACTGTGCCTGTGCCTTTTAAAAAGTCGAATGCATGGCTTATCGTGGGAGGATCTCCTCCACCCATCTTCCTGTCTCTATTATCCCGTGATTATCTGCTCCATTTGACAAAGTATCTGAAGATTCATAGTATTTAATTTAATTAAATCAAGTTTTAAATTTATAATAATAAAAATTGAAAATGAAATCTATAAGTGAAAAATTAAAACTTTATTCTAGTAAAAGAAGAAGAAGAATTTGTTCTCTCAGCTTTTTCCCCTGCTGAGCGGATGTAATTTTGCATTCCCTGCGAATTCTTCAGTAACCTAGGGTAAGACGAGAAGGGGAGTAAGAAAAAGGAACAACTTGAAGAAGAGGTACATGTGTAGGGTGTGTGATAAAGCGAAGTTCAAGGAAAAGTTAGGTTAGAGCTCAAAGCTGAATCCTGAGCGATGGCTCTAGCGTATGTAGGGTATCGATGTTTATTTGCATTAATGAAGTGAGTAATAAGTATAAAAAGATATGAGTGGGGTTGTTGACGTTGTTGACACTTCTACTCCTATGGATTATTTTGAAAATTTGAATTTTTGGAAAATTCAGTTTCGAAACACCCTTCGTAGTAGTAAAATAAATACAGACAGGTAAATTGTCCATAAAGCAAATGGAATCACCGAGCTATTTATAATCCCATCAACCAGCTTCTAAATGAAAGTTTCCAGTGGAAGTTCCTTGATTTGCTCCGTATGTTCATCACTTCGATCTCCTTTTGACCTCGATTGAATCCCCATGCGTGCAGATATCTTTGGAAACTTCCCAAATTAGATTTCTGCGTTACAATGTCAGGCTTTTCTGAGAACTCATCTAACAAAATTCACCCTCGGTTTCATCGACCGCAGATCAGAGTATCTTCAGTTATAAGAAAAATACTTGAGCAATATGTGTTCCATCATTCAGGCATTGTCAACAGCTGGTCGAATTCATAATTCCCACGTGTATCTATGTGGGAAAGCACCCACGTGCATCTCTTGAGCTCCTTGAACTGCTAAGGTCTTTCTACTCAAGTATAACCTCGAAATTATGGATGGCCCACTTAGTATCAGAGTGATTCTTCCTTCTCATTCTTCAAGGTTAACTGTACTTTTTTGGGCTCAAGCAGTCCATTCATATGAAGGAGATTTTCTGTGCTAACGAAACTGCAGCTCAAGAGGTGGACGAGGTTACCCGGATACAGATCCAAAGATGGGTGCCTGAACCGAATACTCAACTGGCTGACCTACTTGGTAGAAGTGTTCCGATCAAGGAGCGTCAATGTCTTAAGATCATGAAGTTTCTCTGACTTTCCTTTAATCTTTGGCAACTTCAATTCCTGTTTTTAGAGTTTCAAGCCGTTTGTGTTGGGTGTAATAATTGGCACTTTTCCGCTACGATGAATTGAAGGAGGTCATATTACCCACATTTTGCCTGCGGTTCCTATCATATTATGAAGCCTAGTTGCCAGCAGAATTGCCCTTGGAACGGCAAACCATTAGGGCTTAGTCAATATGTGTTGCCATGTGATCTTTTCATGATGGAATACCCTTCGTTCTATACTCTCCCATGTCACAATAGGAAGACGGGGAATAAGAACGGTTTTGTTATTTATCCGCCGCACGCGGTTGTCGTGAACCGTATGCCTCTTTATGACAGTTCTAGCATTCTTCATACAGCTCAATCGCTATGCCATTATTACTTTTGGTATGATCCTACTGTTACTTCTTTTGTTCCTGTCCTTCTTACTTGCTGCTGCATTCTGCTACATTCCTTCGCGCGCGGCGTCCCTCTCGCCGCGACGCGACGACTCTGTCCCTACTGCCCCACATCCAGTAAAAAGCCAACACTCGCGGATTAGAGTCCGCTAGCCATGGCGAACACAGGGCTCCTCAAAAACTGCAACTTGTAACATGATAGTTATGCTGAACAGCGGTCTAAAGTTTTAAGCTACAGTTGCAAGCGACGTGGTCCGCCTCTGAGAGTGCCCAGAATAGATTCCTACCGCACCACACCCTTGCTGTGGGAATCTATTCTGGGCAGGGTCAGAGGCGGATCACGTAGCTTGCAACTGTAGCTTAAAACTCCAGACCGCTGTTCAGCAACACTATCATGTTACAAGTTGCAGTTTTTGGGGATCCCTTTGTTCCCCATGGCTAGTAGACCCTAATCCTCGTGTGTGGGCCTTTTATTCATTTTTCGTTGTGTTTGGAGCCTATTCGAGAGTTCATTTCAATCTTTTCCTGTTGAGTACAATGAAACGCTTTGCGGAATCGGCTGCAACAATGGAGTATCGCTTTTTGTGATTGCTTAGTTGAAAAACCGAGAAGGTGAGAGCCCTTGGAATGGAGCTCTTGTCAATTCCTAAGAAATCATACGGAGTTATGAGGAGATGTGTTTGGAGCCTATTTGAGAGTTCATTTAAATCTTTTCCTGTTGAGTACAATGAAACGCTTTGCAGAATCGGCTGCAACAATGGAGTATCGCTTTTTGTGATTACTTAGTTGAAAAACCGAGAAGATGAGAGCCCTTGGAATGGAGCTCTTGTCAAGTCCTAAGAAATTACAAGGAGGCATGAGTAGATAGAAATCGTAGAACAATGGAACACCGTAGATGTGGCAGTTGCCAGGGGCATCGTGGTCACTTTCGGCTATAGGGAAATTCACTAGGAGTGAAAAATTCCTTCTGGAAGCTTATGGGAGTTTTAAGATATACCTAACATCCTCTAGAAGTCACTCCATGACCATTGCTTCACTCCATTTGTCTGAGAATTGTGTGTGGCGCATCCCAAACGAGCTACATAGGGGTTCACCACTATTTTGCCTAGTACCATTCTAATGAATGATTGTTTGAGTACCGGACACAGAATCTTTATTGATTATCAAGTTATTAATTATTTTATCAATTTCCCATCTGTCTGTTGAACAATCCTCATATCAGAAGTCATATGAAGAATTGATAGATGCTGCCTTTGTTGACAGCAGTTTCATTGCAATTTGTTATCAGGCAGTGCCTCCTTTACTGGTCCCCTACATGACTTCAAAATCGATTCGAAACTTTTATTCTGAATGCAGCTCTTGACTGCCTTTCTTCTGAGTTATATGTTCGGTTTTGACACGGAACTATGTAGGCGATAATGAGAGGAAGCGTAAATTGCCTGGTTAGCATGTGATTCGCCAGAGCTTACGTCTGGTCAAGTAGTTCATACTCTTGTCATTATTCTTGAGATGCCTGATCCTGATCTTTGTACTGATCTCCTCGCTCTTGTGGTTGATTGTCTGATTGATCGAGAGAAATTCGTTTGAAATCTTTCAAAGGTGGAATCTTTAAATCGGGAGTTTCTACTTTTAGATGAGTTATGTCACCCGCTTATTTCCGCCCTATTATAAATATGCCGTATTCGTATTCGTCGGATTCCAATTCCTCTACTGCGCATTTGTTCTCGCTATCAGGTACTGTTCGGAGTTTTGATGCATTTGATTAGTAGCGATGTTTACGTATTCAGGCTTTTCAACATATAACACTGTTAACCAAATGAGTTGTTGAGTAGGGCTTCGGCACGGAGTTCGGTCATTTGGTACCATACATACTCGTGTGGGAGGATAAAAACACTGACTTGTACATAGGCTAGCCACTGCAAGTCATTTTAAAGCCACATATGCAGTTACAACGCCACTTAGACAAATTGAAGTTGAACAAGGAACAACGCCTCCTCAAAACGGGAATAGCCGACGTTGTAGGCTTTATCCATTACCCGCCGTTTTTAGATGGTGGCTGTGAAGCAACAAAAGGAATGTGGTTCTGGAATTGTTTTCAGTCATCAGTCTCCTGAATTTCAAAAAATCCTATGTAAAGGATAAAGTCTTGGGGCGTTAGCCAGTCTCGTCTGAGGGATGCGCCCTGCATTCAACTTCCATTCAGAACCTATTCCTATTGGCCTATTGAATGCGTATGTGGCCTATGCAATGACTTGCGGTGGCCAGCCTATGTATGTACAAGACAGTGCTGCCATTCTCCCAGACAAGTCTGGTACCATTCAACCAACACCGGAGGTATGAAAGGCTTGATCGGCCTAGGCGGATACCCATCCGGGATTCAAGCTCGTGTCCGTGCATGGAGATAGTGCGCCACTTGACACCACCTCACTCTGGCCACAAAAAAATATATGTATATATCTGCTTGATTCCTTACTCATAGTCTTGATCATGCTGTTTTTGTTATGTAATTCAGCTAGCGGTTTTAGTGAGGCATATTACAAATCTGCGGCTTTGATCCTACCTATTGCCTATCGAATGTTCGACGATACTGTAAAGAAAAATGTGCCCGGATTCGATTGGTCACCCGAAGAGCAACATCAACTAGAAATGGTCGGTGAGCTGTTTCCAGGTGTTTCATCTTGCTTATCGTACGATTTGGTGGCACCCGAAAACTTTCAGCGGTTTTTATCGGAAATGTGTCAGCCAAGAACATTTTAACGATAACATCTTTAAAGGGGTGTCCCGAATCTATTTTTCTAGTTTCATTAGGCGGAGGAAGTGGTTTTAGGAACGGTAGATCTTTCGAAAAAAGCTATCTTTCAAAATAATTTCTTCCTGATGTTTTCAGTACAAGTATAAGATGTTGGTGTTGTGGGTGGTATCAACAGTGGGCGTTTTGCTTTGTATGCTTATCGTCATTCCGCAATTCTTTGATTTCAACGATAAACGTGGAAATCCAAGCCATCTCGTGAGTTTTATTCTTTTTTACATCGATTTTTGAAAACATTAGCAGAAGTGTTGCCGCGACTGTACGGTAACCGTGTTCTTATTAGGTTAGGGAGATAGTGGCAAAGTGGTTAGCAGACTAGTTTACTCTCCTCGCACTGTTGGCGATATCGAATTCCACCGCCATCGAAAAAATTCTGCTTCTTTACGTTCGTTTCCTGGTAGTGGCACAGTTGTGTAGATAGGACCTTGGGTTTGGTTGACCTTTTACGATATGAATTTTTATTTATTCAATTTTGTTCTCCTAAAGTTGTGCCATACAACACAAAAACAGAACCTACAAGGCGTTGGTCCCTTGTCAACAACTAAAAAAGAAGAAAAGATCAATGTAAGGAAAGCTGAGGACAAAGCCTTAAAAAGTGAAACATGCTTTACTAATGCCTTATTAGGGGGAAGGGGGTAACTGCGAATGAAAGGTAGATGGAAGCATAGTCGCGTCGCGGTGAGAGGGGCGTCGCACGCGAAGGGATGTAGCAGGATGCAGCAGTAGGTAAGAAATACAAGAATCAAAGTACTAATAGTAGAATTATGCATAAAATAATGATCGCATATCGATTGAGCTGTATGAAGAATGCTAGAGCTGTAATAACGGCGAATGAATGGTCCGCGACAGCCGCGTGCGGCAAATCGATTACCCAAAATCGTTCCTAACGCCCGTCTCCCCCCAGACGAGTATGCACGACGGACCTTAGGCAGAAGGTTCAATCATCTTACAGGTTCTAGCTTGGAGTTGAAGTCAAGATTATTTAGTTTTGAAATATTCCTGGTGGATGGGAAGGATTGATAGAGAAGGGATCACTTTTTCAATCTCAAGATGGTCTCGCGTTGTTATTGACAAATGCAACCTTCTCTGCCTCAGCTCCTATAAGATGTTCCAAAACACTCCCAAATTTCCAGGGGATAGCACTTCAGCAATCAGTGACATGTTTGCATGGAGTTTTGCAAATCATTTTTTTTTGCGCACATTTGGAACGCTCAGTACACATAGACAAATCGGAACGGAATCGAAATCGGAATAGGCTTTTCTCTAATCTTCTCTGAGAATGACGAGAAGCGTGTTGATGATAATGATCGGAAGGCATATGGTATACTATTGGTAAACTGATTGGAAGTATGTGTATTTCATATTGTATTGATTGTATTTTACGTTCCAGAAGAATGTTAGAAGAATAGGAATTAACTGACTCAGAAAGTTTGAGGTAATAGCAAGTGTGTTGGCGAAACAAGTTAGTTCACCCATAAACATGGAACGGGCACCACTCCGAGATTTTCCATACAAAAATTGCCTCAAACCGCGTTTTTCGGCCAGCCCGGTGGAAGTTGTGGACATGTCTTCTTCTCTCCACCTTTACTCACCGCCATCGTAGGATCTGCTATGAGCATAGCTGAGGTGACTTACTCTCCTCCTCGGCCGACCTGTCCTGGGCCTGACGATGTTACCGACACGATTTTCTCGTTCCAGCTAAACATGGTGTTTGCTTCAGCAAGAATCGAAACTTGTGGTTTTTCGATGTAGAGACTGGGTCTACACTCGCAATCACTAGGCCCCTCCAGCCGCTCTGACCTGGGGCTAATATATGACGTCTACTGTTTTCAAAAGATGACTGGTTGCCTGACTAGGCGTGAAGGTAGGATTCCATTAGAAAGGAGCAGGTGGAAATTACACGCTTGGTAGATCCCATAGGGAATACATAGGAAGGCTATTACGTTTGAAAGGGGTAGATACTAGATGAGATCTTTTTGAAACAAATGTGAATTTGTATTTGATGATACAAATTCGCGTGTTTGGCTAGTTTGGCAGATAGCTTAATGTTCCCAAAAAAAAAACCCCACAACCCAAACAAATCGCGGCAGCAGTGATATAGAAACCACGCAGATTGAATCCATTGTGCTATGCTATAATGCGCAACCATTGAAACGTCTGTTTCAATCCGAGCTTGGGTAAACTGATGAGAAAATTTGTTTTTTTTTTGCAGAAATTAAACACAAAACTTGTAGACGTTGTACTGAAAAAGACTTTCGGAATAAGCTGAATAGTTTTATGGGCAAATTCAATACAAGCCACGCTTTACGTTATCACCTGAGGTGGCAGGAGCGATGATGTCATCTATCCCTAGCTTTAATCGAATACTATCGATGCAAAGAGCTTGAATATGGTCGTTCTACTCGCTCTTTAAGAAATCGTCAAATCTCATTCTACGACATTCATTGTCAATCCTTTTTCAGTGTCTGGTTCATAAACGACTGGCATGGTTGCTTTTCTTCATTATGGCAGTATTCGTGACAATCATGTGTCTGGCAGTGTTGTGGGCATGGTATGGTGGAGGAGCAGCGTCGAGATCATTCCACGAACATTTTGCAGCTGCTGAGAAGGAGGAAGTCTTCCTGACGGAACTTGAAGAAAGCTTCGACTGCACAAATGATGATGACAAGGAGGTGGCTGATGAGCATGTGAGCGTGGCGTGATCTCTTCTTTAATACTGTGTGATTTATGTTCGCCCTATGCGTGACCACTTTCTAAGTTCTAAACCTTTACTTCTGAAAAAAGCATGCTAAAAAACAGACTTCTAGATTTTCCTTCGTCCCTCTACAAAGACTGGAATAGGTTTGTTCTCAGCTCGGAGTGTAAGGGATTGGATAGGATGACTTTTCGTATCAGTAATACTTATATCATTTGCCTTCCCGTTCGCTCGAGTGAGCATCAACAACCTTAAGATTGGTCCCTTTCCTGAACCAGCGTAATCCAATAGATCCAGTCATGCTTAGCATTAGCTGTTTCGATCTCTTTATTTTCTCATGAATAGCCTTGGGAGGAAGGAGGTGGAGTAGTGACAAGTGGCGTACGATAACACACGCATGATTCGCGTTATCCCAGAAAATCCGTTCAGACCAACCAGCCCTTTGGTCATTTGGTAGTAGACATAGCTGGGAGTATAAACGCAATGTCACGAAAATCGGGTGACCGTCGCAGGTCATTGCTAGGTTACCCATTGAGGTTCCAAATGAATGCCGACTGCAGGGTAACATCCTGAAAGTAGGGATTGCTTAACACTAAGAGCTTTTCTTTTGTTCACTTTATCGTATGGGAATACTCAAAAATAGTTCATGTATCTTCTATCTTCCGAATAAGGGTATAATTAGTTATGGGACCTCAGGTACTTCACTTGGCAATGCAACCTTCCACTGATCCATTTTCACAAGTACGTCAGTTGGATGGACATAAAAAGGCAATCGTAGTGATTCACGGAGATTGGGTTAATCTGCTCTCAAGCCAAAGATCTTTTCAATAGGCGTATGTAGCTCAAAGTCAAGCTGGTCAGGTCACTTAATAGCCTCAATTTCCGTGAACAAAACTGACTGATTCTCCGCGTTCGATTCAAGCATGCCCTGTTCCATCTGCTTGTATGCATGTCGCCTTTTCCGGTGCATGACGTATCGTGTTTATGCCGTGATTTCGTTAAAATTATTCGAAAGTCGATTAGTGTGTAATTTCGAAACGGATTGTTTCGAGAAAAAACTGTTCCGGTCAGGGTCAAGCATGATATCGTGTAATGGCTCTACCATCAGGACTCGATGGTCCTTTGCCAGGATATAACTTCCTCCCAACCTTTTCAGTTCTAGATACTTCTAAATCGAAACTTTGGAAAGAAGGGAGTACATAGCGCAGCTTAATCACGAGAGGTGACCTTGGAGTTTCTATTGGTATTGATTCAGAGTGACCCTTTTTCCATCTCTTCAGTCGACTTCCTCCCACGAATGGGGCAAATAGTTGCGTACTACGCGAAACAAGCTTGACTCTGATTGTAGTGGTGGTCCGCATGAATCGTTTAAATGATAGTGGTCAAACACAATCCGCCAATAACTTTGGCTTTTTACAGAGATGCTGGCAAAACGTTGCAATCAGTTTTGTCAACGATTTCTGGCTGGACTTATTACTGTACGTCTACATTGCCGGCAACATACTCGCCTTTCTTGCCATTCCATTCTTCAACAAATGTGAGTCCAATCAGGTTTCACTACTTATTTTGTTTTGCTGGGAAAAGGAGCTTACTACTATGTAAGGAATCACATAGTTATCTCTGTGTTACGTGAAGGGCGCAGGAAGCAGTGACTGCTCTTACTGCAGCTAAGAGTACTGACTCCCGTGAAATTGCATCGAAGTGCGACTAATTGCAACGAAAGAGCCCTTTTCCGTGCTTATCAATGCGACGTTGTACACACATTTTTTTGAATTGCACCTTTGAAGTCACAGTTCACGATAATTTTGAGGTGCCCTCTTCAAGTCAAAAATCGGATGTGTTGGCTGGGAATAGTGCATCGGTGGTGTAGGAAGTGAGAAAATTCGCCAATTTCGAGATAAATATTGTTCTTTTAAGGTAGCGGAATTAGAGGTTGACGAGATTACCATGACATAAACAACATGAGAGGGGTATTTGAACGGGATTTCAATTGATGTAATTACGCAGAGAGTTACCTACATCGAGCCGAAACTGTACAGAATTGCTTGTCACTGTTGCTATGGGTAATGGAAAGTTGTTCGAATTTGCCAAATGGGTTCATTCGTGGAAGGTGCAGCCCTCACAATAGTTTGAAACTCGTCCACGCATACACACGGCACAATCACTTGGCCCCTATGATGCCCTATCTAGGCCATTTGCTGATCTGACTGCGCCAGATTTGTTAGTGCCATATTAGAAATCATTGCGCCAGTCTCAAACTCACTGAGCTTCGGAGACTAGCGTAAAAACCTGATTCGTCTGAGTTAGGAGGCAAAACGAATAATGTTTCGTTGTATCTTTTAATATTACTAATTTTCTCTTCGATCACTTTTTGTTCTTCGGATTTTACCATTCTGGATTATAACTGGAACCGTTTGCTATTAAACTTGGGATTGCTCCTGGCAAGGAAGCCATGATGTAAGCTTCATCACGTAATTCCAATCCACCAATATTTGTCAGGGCTAGGTTGCAAGGGTTTCATGTGTGATTTTGCTTTGATATACTGCTTTTATAAGTGGCAAGGCTTCTGGGCTTGGCCCTAAAAGCGATTGCGTGCTCCCTCTTCTACGTTCCTGCATTCAAATCAGTCGGCTTCATCTGTTTTGTTAGTATACCAAATCTGAGCATGATCTTATTCGCACACCATACGATTCTCTTGGCAGCCTTGTTCCGAATCTTCAAAAGCGGGGTCATGCCTGGCCTGGGAAAGCGGCTCAATCCTATCGTCCGGGTTCGTTGGATATAATATAAATTTCTCAATGTATTTTTTTAGTGAGAGAAATGGTCTTTCTAATCAGTCAGATAGTACAACTGCATTTCCATGGATATGGGTACATACGTGCGTCCGAGGATGTGCGGCAGTTCGAACGACCCTGGCGCCTACCATTTGGGCCCAAATTTGAAGTAAAGTAGATCAGTAGGATCAGCTGACCATACCAATCTACTATACTTCAAATTTGGGCCCAAATGATAGGCGCCAGGGTCGTTCGAGTCCCCACGCATTTCGCCGCGCGCATCCTCGGACACACGTAAGTTCCGTCCTCCCATTTCCATAGAGACCATGTTCCGTGAGGAGGAAGGCTCACCGCTACAGACAAACCTGATTCTCCTCCTCGAAGAAGACCCCTACATGGAAATATGCGTAAACCCTGTGCTTGGTTCGACAGTAAAGATTCCGCTGCTGCGATGCTTCACACATTTGAATCTCCGACTAGTCCATTCTATGGCTATACTGAACCCTCTTCAGCTGTTCAGAAGATTTTGATTGTGGTACTAGAAGGACATCTTCAGGCGGATTGTCTGATAATACATAGGCTTACTATTGTTCTGTTTGATATTGTTTTGATATCTACATAATCCCCTATTTCAGTGTTAATCAAATCCGATGACGACTACGCCGATGATAAGCTGATTGACGCCTAATGTATGGATGTGTTCTGTGCTGTTACCGTCAATAATGAGAGATCTAGAGCTTATTTATGAATAACTATTACATATAGTTACGCGTGCATCATACCTTCACCCCTTTGGCATCTCATGTCCATTCCTTGTACACTATTCTGTGAACCATTCCTTTGCACTGTGCACAAACGGTTGTTACGGGTGCGACATGTCGATCCCTAGGCAGGATTTACACCCTGTGGGCGTCTGTGACAGAAACCCTGACCGTATGGTGGTCAACGGCGTAGACTTGCGGAGCGGGAGAAGGTTTTTATGGAAAGGTTAGGAAGTGCTGTCAAAAGTTGACTACTGGGGAATATCAGTCTTGGAAGAGATGCAATTGAAGTAGAGTTACTCATCTTTTACCTATCCTATTCTCATTCTGGGCATGGAGTTTGCCGGGGTACTAGCCCTCATTTTGTTGTGTTATCATTCGTCTATCACCTCCCCTTCTAACAGTGGGACACCGGGTCGAACAAATTCCTCCAGGTGGAGGGGATAGAATATCCTTCTGCTTGGAAACTTGACTGTTTATGTCTGATTTTATTGACTCGCTTACCCTGGTAGTACTTCTCGGGAGACTAGAGGGAGTTCAAGATGATTCCCACATCCTTTCTTGGAATCCCCATTCACCTGATTTTATCATAGGATTCGGTAAGTTTCGATCGGTAGACTGATTTTTGGTTTGGGTTTCTGGAAACTCAAACCAAACCTCATCTGTGGACTGCTACA